ACATGTTTCTGGTTCAGGCCAAGCGACTCAAGGAGACACCCTCGCTCGGTACCTCTCCTAGAGTTGGCAATGTGTTTGAGGCCAAGCTCAAGGATGCCATCGTCAAGCCCACGGTCGTTCCGCCGCCTTCAGAAGTCCCTGTTCTACCCGCGCCGATCCCCGATGTGGAACCTGCGCCGAGTACCCTGACTCCTCCGATTTCCCAGTCACCTCTTGCCGCTGTCTCTGTCAACTCCTCAGCCAAGATCAATGAAGTTCCCAAGACCGAGGAATTCAATGAGCCAGTCCCGGTGACTTCTAAAGTCCCGAAGGCAGCTGCCGTGGCCGTAATTGCAACTCCTGTCGTTATACCTGGTCTGCCCGTCAACAACAACTCGGACCAGCCTGACAGCAACATGGACTGGGAGACAGACGCTCAGGCGAAATACCAGAACGCTGAACCAGAGCTTGAAGACGAGGATGACAAAATGGATGAGGATTCTCCTCTGAAGCTTTGCTCGCAATCTGAGTTCGACGACGGCTCTGTTTCGGGCTCTGACCAAGCACCTCCCACACCCTCACCCGCGCCTCGTCCGAATGAACCTCAGCCGCAACAGGTACTGGACGAACCTATGTTCGATGCACCCCAGATCCGTCCTAACCGCGAGCTTGAGATGGACGAAGCCGCCGTGCCTTCGGTAGACCGTCCCAACGTTGAGTTTCGACATGCTCCTGAGGCTGAAATGATAGACGTCCCCGGCTCCGCAAGCTCTGAGTCCAAGTTGAGAGAAGTCCCAGAGAACAAGGAAAGGGAGTGGTCCTCGCCCCCGGTGTCCCCTTCTGTAACTCGGCTTAGCCCTCCTCCCGAGTTCGTTGAGGTCGAAAAGGTCTCCGTCAATGTTAGCCCCCAGCCGGAGTTGAAAATGTCGCGGGAGGACGTCGAGGAAGACAGATCTTCCTCTTCGGTATCTCTTCCAACCCAGGCCACTTCTACTCCAGAGGCTGTGGAGGTCGACAAGGTCACAGTTGCCGCAGCTCCTGAGCCACAGACACCAAAGAAGCCCATAAGGATCAAGTTCGTCAAGAAGGCCGCGAATCCGCTGATGACCCCGGTCCGGCCGAAGAAAAAGACGGCAGCAAAAGGGCCTGATGCTTCTCCCAGATCCGATGCAAACAGCCCTGACGCATTGGTTGTCCCTGCCCCTGACAACTGGAAGTCTACCGCAAAGGCAGACACTGGGTCGAAGCTTGTACTGCTACCAGTGAGCTCGCTCAAGTCAGTCTCCCAGCCAAGAACGGACCTTCCACTAAATATGGCCGGATCTCGCAAGCCGAGCCCGCTGTCAAAGACAATCATCGAGCCAAAGCCAGACGTTACCGAACAGCCTGAGGAAAGATCGCCGTCTCCCATCGTCACTCGTGCGCCTGAGTCCCCCGCGCAATCTCCAAAGGAGACAGCGACAGTTATGACAACCACAGAGCCGGAGTCTGACGTACCCGGAGAGCCCAAGGACAATTCGCCCTCTCCCACAGTCCCTCAGACGCCTGAACCGCCTGTGCCTGGAACTGGCCTCCTCGCAACGCCTTCGACGATTCCTGGTCTCTCATGGCCCGCGCCGCCCCCGCCAATGCCCTCGGTGACGCAACAGACCCTCGTCCTTCGAGACCTGTCTCCGGAGCCCGAGGAGGTGGAAAACGAGTCCGACGACGACTCAGACAGCGAGGTAGAGTTCCTAGGAATCGATGAGTACATCCCAGAGCGCAAAATTATGCCTCTCCGTCGCCGTCGTTTGGCACTGGCTCTGGGGCCGGCTCCCACTCCCGAGGCCTCAACATCCGAGGCTCCTCCCTCCAGATCGCCAACGCCAGAGTCCGAGGCCCTATCGGAACTTCCTTCAGACTCGGACGACGACCAGGCAATGTCTGAGGACGAAGAACCTGCCCCTCGGAAAATCGCCCCGTTGCGTCGGCGTAGATTGGGAGACGAGCAAACTCAACGCGCACAGGCACAAGAGCACGAGTTCCGCAAGAAGAAGCTCCAGGAGGAACAAAAAGAGTTGGACGAGAAGGCGGCGAAATTCCAGGCTCCGCCGCCATTTCCCATGGTGCCAGCCCCTTTCGTCGTTCGTACTACGCCTTTGAAGTTCAATCCCTTGCCTGCGCCCAATTCTTCGTCCGAGCCTAGCCCGGCGTCGAAGCTCAGTCCTGCGTTGCTTGCCGTCGCTCCTTCGCTTGCTGGACTCGTGGTGGTGATTGGATCCCCAGAGGTGGAGGACGAGCTGAAGAAATCTCTGGAACCGTTGTGGGACCTCATCGATGCTGACCAGTTGAAGACGTATGGACCCAAAAGCCTCACGCAGCTGGCCATCAGAAGATGGGGCGAGCTCATGGAACGCAAGCGGTACAACAAGGGACAGAGCATATTCAGAAGTATGTTCGATGATCTCATTGACAAATGGGCCGAGTTGGTTGTGACGGAAACCTTCGTCGCTCACCTCATCGTACCCAATGATGACGAATCACAAGCTGAGATCATGGACCCATGGCTTGAGAAGATCAGAGAAGCCCGGAAGAAATGAACAATCTTGAGACGATATCAAGAGATCATTGAGATGTCGAGGACCGCAAGATCGAAGAAAAGGAACGAAAAGACCAAAAAAAAAGTCCCAAAATCACAAAACCCGGAAAAAAAAAACATCAACACGCACGCATACGACCTTAATGACGAAGCTTCTTGAGATGAGATCAAGAGAGCAGATCATGGAAGAGGGATTCGAGAAGAGAGAAAAAGAAAACACCAAAAAAAAGTCTCAAAATCACAAAACCCGAAAAAAAAAAAACACCCACCCACCTGTACCACAACCACATAGCACCAGAGAGACTGGAAGACGGAGAGCGACTGACGCGATGTTTGATTACCGACGTACCAAGAGTTTGCTATGTTTGTTCGGATTACCTGTTTTTCACCTTTGTCCATCCATTTGTACCACCACCACCGACAGCGCGATTCGCCTGACCTTCGCCTTCGTCGATAGCCCAAGCATCGTCTTCGAGAACCTCCCACTCCGGAACGGCAACCTCACTGATAAGCTTCTTCTTGAGCCTATCAGCAAGCTTCAGGGGGGTGGGAAGCTTGAAACCGCGAATGAATTCGGATCCCTCTGCGCTGCCAAGGAAAGCGTGAGCTGTACCATGGGAATATCGTCCCATCCACGAGGGAGCTTTGCCGAGCTCTTCTTGGTCAATCGCATCGTGCTTCGCCCCAGGCGATGAAGTTGCAGGTGGATAGAGGCGGCCAGTCTGGGTGCTGTGAAGTTGTTGGCCAATGAGCAAGTTGTACAAGTTGCGGCCCATATGACACACATCCTCGAACGAGTTACGATCTCCTACAAAGACGCCCTGAGTACTGCAGGCCCAAGCAATATCGTACGCCAGCAATGTCACGCCCTCCAGGAACAAGGAATGAGCAGCAGGGTCTTCCTTAGCCAGAATGGGCAATATCTTATCGACGAAGAGTGGCCGCGGGCGAGGCATGTACTGCGGCTGGCTCTCGCGCTCTTCTGCAGAGAAGCTGGTGACGGGCGAGGTTCCAGGAAACGGTACTTCGCCATGCTGATACGACGAGGAAAGATTGAAGATGGTCGGGCGCGGATAGTCTCGATGCGGCAGTGTTATCTCTGCAGGGAGCCTAACCGAGAGGTAATGACTTGTCAAAGCCAGGATATGGGCGATGTTGGCGAGAGAGGTGGACAAGAGTTCAGGCGAAATAACTGTCAAGGTCAGTATGAGTGTCACTCGCCAAGTTTGGAGTGCGATACTAACCATTCATAGATGAGAGATCGACGATGTCAACACCCCCGATCTTGTACTCGTACCGAGCAGATGATCCCTTCTTGATGCGACGAAGTCCGTACAGCTTGGCGGCCTCCATGCACAAGAAAGATCGAGTCGAAGACATCTGGTCCGCACTTCGGGTCCATTTGTACTTGGCAACCGAGATGGAGCGTTCAGTCTCTTCCAGCTGTCTAGTTCTCCGAGCAGCTATGCCACTCGATGCAGATGCAAGATCGGATTTGCGGCGAATGAGGGCGGCTTTGCGATCAGCAATCTCCTTTCTGGCGGCGGCAATTTCACCCTTGAGTTTCTCAGCTTGGGCGATGATCTGTTCAGTGCGATCTTCGGCCGTTCTTTGAGAGGCACTCAGCGACTCGAGAACAACACTTCGACCGGGGCCATCATCTGCCTTGTCCTGAGCAAGCAGGTCGTTGATCTCCTTTTGAAGAGTCTCATTCTCCATCAGCGCCTGGAGATTCTTGATGCGACCCTCATAGCAGTGGTTGCGAGCATCGACGGCACAGAGAAAGGGAAGACGCTGAGCATTGTGAGGCCTACAGCATATGTCGCAATTCATTTTGGCGATTTTCTGGCCGAGTCCAGGCAGGCGGCGACTCGAGATGTGATACGATGAGGCGCATGCACAGAGCGTTGTTCCCTCGGAATGACGTTTGGTATTTGAGTTTCTGGTAAGTGGATCTTGGAGAGAGAGAACCCCCCCAAAGGCCTTGGAAGGAATCACCGACTTGATATATACGCCGACTCTCGGAAAGCAAGGTGCGTCGATCGGGGCGTTCAGACGACCTGTGAGTGGCAGGTCGCTTGAGTCGTCGGTCGAGTCACGGGAACGAGGTCGGGTGAGAGACAATGAATGGGCCAGAATGGGAAACACTCGACTGCCGTTGGTGTTGGCGCAAGCGGACTCCGACAGGCAGCAGGGGTGACCCCATGGGCCATGGGCCATGGCACCCTCCCCCAAGTCCCCTTCCTGCGCCACACTTCCTTCCCTTGGCGCTTGCTTCCTTCTTAGCGCCACACTTTCAACTTTTGGCAGTCAGATTGCTAACGTCCCTTTGGCAGGCAGGAAACACCAACGGTACCGCTACAGGAGCCACTTGCCGTACCTCCCTGGAGCGGTAGTAACACCCCGAGTTCCTGCCTCTCTCTACACCCGAAATTCAACAGCACTTTCAAGGCGCACCAAAAAAAAAAAAAAAAAGATTCCCATACACAACCAACTCCCAAAAAAAAGAACAACAACCTTTACCATCGAATTTCTCAGCTTGTCTTCTCTTGATCCCTCCACTTCCCTGCACAACTTTCCAGGCCCATCAGCAAACATGGCCGACGCGGGAAACAACCAGCAGCAGAAGGCTAAGTCCCTCCAGACTACCAAGACACCTGAGCCTCGTTTGGATCAGCAACTCGCCAACGGTCAGGACAACGGCAACAACACCCCCAGCACTCCGGGTGTCTTTCCGGCTTTTGATTGGGAGGATTTCGAAGCCAGATATGAGAAGGCTCTCGCCGATGCAGACGAGAAAGAGCGCGAGCTTTTGCTCGAATTCGACGGTCTTGTCAAGGTATGACAGGATGCCCGCTTTTTTCCCAACTTACAGTCATGGTGACCATCATTCTACAGTACTTCAACGTCTGGGCATCCACTTCCAGCGCCCATGACAATGAGCGCGCAGTCAAGCGCCTTCATACCAGACAGAGATTTGTCAATCTGGAGGAACAGAGCATGGCTCAGAAGCAGGAGCACAGTAAGTTCTTCTTCATCATTCCATCGTTACCAAGTGCATCCGACTAACAACTCATTTACAGTGACTGAGGTTCTCCGAGCCTTCCAAAGCGCCCTCGCCCTCTTGAGCAAGTCTTAAGTGCCCTTAAGGCTGGGTACAGGAAGGGTATTCACGATGTTTGATTATCTGTGCAAAATACTGCACAAAACACATGTTCGACTTTCCAAGCAGGAGCGCGCTGGTTCGCGTCCCCTTCCCACTTTCCCTGAGCGATGGTGGTGAAGCGGGCCCCATACGTGGTCCAAGCTCCAGGCGCCTAACGCGCTGATCCCGCGGACCTCCCATCCAAATATTCAACTTACCTATTTCCTTCTTACAACAATTTCCTTCTCTCAAATCTTCCTCCACCCAACTTCCTGCCTTCAACATCCATCTCCATCAAATCTTCCCTCATTCAATCACTTTCCCACAAAACACCCATACCAAAAAAAGAAAAAAATCCAAGAAGCATCAAATCAATCCGCCAACCTCAAGCTTCCACCCAGGCTGGCTGGCCCAAATGATGCCATCGTTTGCTGCACCAAGCGTCAGCAATGTGAGTACCTCATCGATACCTTTCAATTTTCATACTGACTCTCATCACAGAACGACTTGGTAGCATTCTTCGAGGCTCATTTCTCTGGTGCGGCAGTCCGCAACTTTCAAGCTGATTTTTTGAATCCACATCATCAGCCGGACGCTGCAGCCACCAATGCCTCAGTCGAAGAAGATGGCGACGTCTTCGAGGAAGAAGACGATCTCGGCTACTATCACGACGGCGTCAAACGAACACTCACTGACGACCAAATCGCCATGTTTCGTCATTCTGAGCTCGAAACCATCAAGCGAGAGCAGGAGCGACGTTCAACGGCAGTACGCCAGGCAGGTGAGACTGGCGAGGATGGCACCCTTCGGGCTGCCGAGTCATCTCGCCCGCCGGGTAAAAACGCTAAGAACAAGAAGAAGAAACGGGGGAAGGGCAAGGGCCAAGAGCCCAAGCCCGACCTCCGCAAACGCACATGGGATGTCGTCGAGTCGGGGCTTGACACCCTCGACTACGATTGACATTCCACTGCCATCAACGCCCGGGCTGGCTGCCTCTGGTTGGGGATCTGTATGCCATCAGTGTTCACTCCTAGACCTTCTGGTGCCGGAAAGAACCATGCGGTCATTGACCCATGGACCTTCTGGTATCAGAAAGAACTGGGGGTGTGCCACTTCTAGACCTTCTGGCGGCTAGAAGGAACCATTGGGTCAGTGACCCGTGGACCTTCCGGTCGGCGGAAAGAACTAGAGGTCGCCACTTTTTGTATACAGACACGATCATGCACTCCCAGCTTTTGCCACCACGCTGGGGATTTTCCCTACGCTCGCGCAACGTGCTGCAGTGCCTTGTGCACTCAGCACCGTTCTAACTGTCGCAGAAATTGGGGGCCTCACACACGCTCTCATATCTGCTTGACGACCTGAACGCTGACGTCGAGGCAAATGCCTCCGTCGGTTCGCGGGGCTTGATGTGCGGGAATCCACCAAAATCCACTTTCATTGAAGGTATGCTCATTTCTCTTTTCTCTTTACCCCAATACCCCGTATGCTATGATGAAAACCTTGTATCGTCATCCTTAGTCGGATCCATTGCCAGAGCTGACTACTGCCGGCCAATTCCGGCGCCTGAGTCGCACTGAGCTTGGACATGTCGAGCAATAATCTTCTCTCTGACAGCATTCTATCGCACTTCTTGGTCTTCGCAATTACTCAAGTCAAGGAACATCTGCTAACATTGGTTCCTAGGTCAATTCGAACCAGTCATGTATTGCCTCGTGGCACTGTGGAAGAGGTGTTGGATGCCGGTTGGCGATATGGGAAGAGGCATAAAATGCCATACCGGAAGATGAGAAGAGGCATAAAATGCCCACATTGGAATGACAGAAGTGGCATTTCGAGTCGTGTGGGAACAGGAAGTTGCACATGAAGGACATGAGGATGAAGCGATGTCTCAGTGGAACAGAAAGGAATGGACATCTTGGTCTTGCGGAGGAATGATTGATATGATACCCTTGTTTGCTACTGTCGGTCTGGAACGTTTTGATGATAACGTTTGGTTATGGGAAAAGGAAATACAAAATTTCTGGAACTGCCAAACACGTTTGTCTTTCGAACAGTACTGATGCCCTGAATTCGCTCAATTGACAATGATTCAATGATACATGCAACCAACCGTCTGTTTGATGTTCGAGTGAGATGTTCCTGAACCATCTACGAGCCCCAATGAAGGAGAAGGTGATCCACTCCAAGGCACTGTCCTTCTTCCTGAACAGCGACTGTTTGAAACTCTACGATGCGACGTCCTGTTGAGCGCTTGGCTGACTTCTTATAACCACTGTAGCCATCACGCCGAAGGAACTCTGACCAAGGTTCGTGATTCAGGTCGAGACCAAGATTCACCCAGTTGAACGGCAGGGGCGTGCACGGATCACTTGGTCTTATCGGGCGGCCCGGACGATAAGCGGGAAGGCGCCTTTTCGGTCGACGACCAATCACGGCTCCAGACCGCTAAGCCTGATTTTAGACATCCCACCTTGATTTACTCCCTGCCCCGTTCTCCCACCACCACCACCACCCGCTCCACGTCCAGCCAGGCTACCTCAGCCACGCCGAGACCCCTCCTCCTCGTCCTGCCTCCGCCGCAAAATCCAACCTCACGCAACATCACCAACCCGTCCCTGTCCAAACCTGCGTACGATCGTAGGCAAAAAGTCGCCCAACATGGCGCGGGTCTACGCAGATGTCAACCAGAATATGCCCCGCAGCTACTGGGACTACGATTCAGTCAACATTAGTAGGTTTTCAACCTCGCGCTTCCTACCCTGTCTCTCTCGCCCAGAGATCGACTAGGTGTATGCGACCTGCATTCGCCATTCCTACTTACCACACCTTGCCCACCTTTGCGGATTCACAGTAACTAACCTTTCAATCAACAGGCTGGGGGGTTCTCGAGAACTACGAGGTCGTCAGGAAGATTGGTACGTTTTGTGCTTCCGCCGAGGGTGGCCCCCGCGCCGCGCGCGCATGCGCCATACCGCCGCATACTCTGCGCGCACGAGTCGAACCGAGGAAAGCATATTTGGCTGATACAGGTCTTCAACAACAGGTCGCGGAAAATACTCCGAGGTCTTTGAGGGCATTAATGTCGTTAACTACCAGAAGTGCGTCATCAAGGTCTTGAAGCCTGTTAAGAAGAAGAAGATCAAGCGTGAGATCAAGATCTTGCAAAACTTGGCGGGAGGACCCAATGTCGTGGCTCTTCTGGATGTGGTCAGAGACTCACAAGTAAGCGAATCCTGCCGTAAGATCAGTCGCCAAGTCAGTGGGCTAATGATGCATTCTCGAATAGAGCAAGACGCCATCCCTCATCTTCGAGCATGTCAATAACACCGACTTCCGAAGCCTCTACCCCAAGTTCAACGATCTTGATGTTCGCTACTATATCAATGAGCTACTGAAGGCTCTTGACTTCTGTCACAGCAAGGGCATCATGCACCGCGACGTCAAACCTCATAACGTTATGATCGATCATGAGAACAGAAAGGTATGTATTGCGCTTGGTGGAACATATCATGGTCTTGAAGCTAATACTAGGCCAGTTGCGACTCATTGATTGGGGCTTGGCCGAGTTTTACCACCAGGGAACCGAGTACAACGTGCGCGTGGCTTCCAGATACTTCAAGGGTCCCGAGTTGTTGGTCGACTTCCAAGAGTACGACTACAGCTTGGACATGTGGAGTCTGGGTGCCATGTTTGCCTCCATGATCTTCCGCAAGGAGCCGTTCTTCCATGGCAACTCTAACTCAGACCAACTTGTCAAGATTGCGAAGGTGCTCGGTACGGACGACCTCTTCGACTACCTCGACAAGTACGAGATCGAGCTCGATGCGCAGTATGACGACATTCTCGGTCGTTTCCAGAAGAAGCCCTGGCACTCTTTCGTCACCGCGGAAAACCAGCGCTTTGTCAGCAATGAAGCGATCGATTTCCTGGACAAGCTCCTTCGATACGACCATCAAGTACGTTGACACCATGCGAGGCAAGGCTAGGCGAGAATGATACACTAACATGCAAACAGGAACGTCTTACTGCCAAGGAGGCCCAGGCACACCCTTACTTCAACCCTGTTCGGGACCCCGAGGTTTTCAAGCAGCACTTGGCCAACCAGACCGCCTCAGGTGTGAGCAGCAACTAAGACTAAGTCATCGGCCAGCTTGGTTTCGCAACTACTCACACCCCACGCGACAATTTGGATCTTCCCTCTGCACATAGACTGTACGCAAGAGGCATGACACTGCAGGCGGCGCAGGCGGTCACTCCGGGACTGGACCCTGCAGCCGCAAGCCGGCCTGGGTTCTAGACTAAAGTCCCTTCTTCCAGGTGTGAACATGGCTCGGATCAATGGGACAAAGAAGCATGAAGCGGACCTTCCACCTCCCTCAGTCTCAATACATGGAATGATTATTCGAAATGACTTTTCAAGATGGGTACCTGTTCACGGGCGACGACACGAAAGGTGGTCTACACACATATTTTAGGCGTACAAACGTCGACCAGAGCAAGGAGCAGCGAGGACGAATGGGGAAATGTGGTGGAAGACAGGAAATTTGGCTTGCGTGAGGATCTGGGTTTCACCACACCGGGGATAAGGCGTTTGCGAGGTCCATGCCCCTTCCGTTCCAACTGCCCCTCGACATCCATGACTTTGCATAACGTGGTTTTTATGATTTTCTTTACAGAAGCTCTCTGGTATTCATCTGATGTAGCGACTAATGAGGAAGCTACTTGGCTTCCATGACCTCACCTTAAGGCCACAAGTCCCCCGCTATCTGCTGTTTCTATCTGCGCGTGCCAAGAGAGGTTCCTCTGTGCTTCCATGACAAGACCTTGCTCTCCATGTATGCTGCGATTCCTCGAGCCTACAGGCAAGTGAAGCAGAAGTCTCTGTCGCATCGAAATCCATCCTCACCACAGCGCCTCATATTCCCGCCTGGTGTTTGCACGAGCGAGCCTGACGGGCTACCAAAGTGAACTCGCGTGGGCGTAGCAAACGCCCATGCCGCCTTGCGCTTCTTGCCCCTGGTAGTCTCTGTGCCTGTGGTGGTCGCGCTTGCTGCACCCGTGTTTCCGCTCTCGGGAACGAGCGGGCTTCTCTGCTTCATGGGCGTCGTGATTTTGGTGTGCGGCCCGGCGAGGAGGACTGGGGTGTAGGATGCGCGTCTGCGTTCGGCCGATGAGCCGCCCCCGCCCAAGCTCGAAGCCGCTGTGTGGGTTTTGAAGAGGTCTAGCGTGAGTTCATCTTCGTCGTCGGAGAGGAGGGAGATGAAGGATTTCCTGGAGGTCGAGTCGCGCGTGGTTCGGGGCTGGTGGTGTCTCGACGATGAGGATGGTGTGCTGGGGGCGGCTTTCTGGTTCTGTGTGGAATTTGGCGAGGGGCTAGAGAAGGGAGGGGGTGTAAGGGATTCCGACTTTGCGAGTGTTGATAAAGCAGACTTGCGGCTCCTCGGGTTTCTTTTGCACTCTGAGCTGGCCGAAGGGCGGGGCTTCACGGCCTTTTTCGTCTTGGCTGGCGGTTTGCTGACGGAGTACTTCTTTAGAGGACTGCTGGATTGGAGACGCATGTGTTTCAAGGGCGATGTGGCTGTTTTATCGACGGCTCCCGAGGTCTTTGTCGGTGACGATTGACGACCTCTTCGAAGAGGCGGCCCGAGGAGGCTTCCTCTTGATTGTGGTGGGAGGATGGGAAGCTCGATTTCCATTGCTTCAGGGTCGGGTTCGGCTTCGGGCGCGCTTGTTTCGTCAATGTCGTCGAGACCGAGGGGGACTGTGAAGGGCTCGATGACTTCCTGGTCATCGTCTTGCTGTGTTTCTCCTCTTTGTTGGGGTTTCTCGGGCTCAGTCTGTGAGCCTTGCTGAGTCCCATCTTGAGTTTCCTCTTGGATCTGCTGCTGGACCTGGTCTTGGACTTGTTCATCGGTCTCCTCCTGGATCGCCTTCTCGATGTCTTCCTGAATCTCTTTCTGGATCTGCTCTTGCATCTCTTCCTGAACTTCTTTCTGGAAATCGTCATGGATCTGCTCCTGGATCTCCCGAGCCTCCTCCAAGATCGTTTCCTCAAACACATTTTGGTCGGCGGGTGTATGGAGATTCTGCTCTAAGCTCTCCTGAGTCTGAGGCTCCTGCGCCGCTGAGACCTCATCTTGCGACGGAACCTCCACACCAGCCATATCCGTTGTTTCTGTGGACGAATGCCCCTCTATCGGACTGATCCCAGTGAGAACTTCCGCTGGTAAGGTCGTGGAGTTCATGTCAGACCCAATGGGCCTTTCGCTAACTTCTTCGATTTGAAGACTTTCCCGTTCCTCGCTAACTTCTACGAGCGCATCGACCTGCTTCTCAGAGATTCCGACGTTGATGTCACTAGGTTCTATCGAAGCCGTCTTGCTGGTCGTGAACGGTCCTCCATCGGACTCTATATGAGATGGCCGATGGTCGTCTAGTGTCGATAACTTCTCCAAAGGCCCGGACGTGGCCTGTATTGCATGGCCTGCCACTTCGACCGCACCCGAAACAGTATCCATCTCCTTTCCGCTGCGAAGCTTTCTGATGCGAGTTGTGGGAATACCTTCCTCGTCATCAGAGAAGTCGTATGAGGGGTCGATTTCATGCCTGACGAATGTTTCCTTCGGCGGCTCAGCGGGCTTCGCACTTGGTGCTTTGACTGGCACAGCCGTCTCAACCGAGCCAGCCGCAGGATCGCCCCCTGCCACAAGAGTTGTCGAAGTGGTTTCGGAGACGGTTAGATTAGCAAGCTGGGGCGTCAGGGCCTCATGTTGGTGATCCGAATCAAAGATGTCCATATCTTCGGGATCTTCGACTAATGTGATCTCCTCTGGGGAGGGAATTTTGGAGAACAACTCGATAACGAATCGCTGCTTTGGCATGTCTCGCAACTCCTCTTCCGTCACAAAACTAGTCGAGTTCTGGTCAACCTCAACCTCAACTTCGGCTTCAGCTCCAGCTTCAACTCCAACTTCAGTTGGCGAATCCAACGACTGGTCTTGAGCTTGTTTTTCGGTTGGTTGACTCGGCTTGGTAGCTTCTGCCTCTCGAGAAGCTTCTGCTGGTTTGATAACCTTGGCTGGGATGAGTTGTCTTCTCGGTCTTGGGCCTTCTTTCACAGAAGTTTTGTTCTGATTGAGCCAGCCAATCTCCCTGGAGAGTGTTTTTGATATGGCGGGTTTCGATTTTGATGGTTTGGCTTCAATAGGTGGTTCAAGTTCTCGTGCATCCGTTTCGACAGTGGCGCTTACTGCCTCCTCTACGGTAGTATCCGTAATATCCGATGTCTTGTTCGCAGCCCTAGGCCCTTTACCCACAACGGCAACTCCAAGAATATCGTCTTCGTTATCGTCATCCTGGTCAGTGAATGCTTGTAGTAACTTTGTTGACATTGGTCTCGCCATCCTTGGGACCTCGTTCCTGGCGCGGATGAGCTGCTTCATGTCGATCTGAGCAGGTTCAGGTAATGCTTTCTCCTCATCGGTATCGCGCCGCGAAGACCACACAGACTTGAATCCTCGACTGGTGGGGAAGCGGTACCTAGCACCATAAAGTTTCGTCATCAAGTCGTCGCCAAGTTTGGGCTTGCTGATCTCGGGGACCCTCCAAGTCGGATCGACAGGTTCTGGTTCATGCCCCCAAACATTTGAGGACGGATTCGTGGTGCTAGATCCTGGCTGGCGCGGTTGAGCAAGGTTGGACAGCCGTTGATCGGATCCTGGTATTGATACACCTGGCGAGACATTTGGCCGGGTTGGGTGCCGCTGTAGTTCACCCTTTTGCTTGATTATGAGGGCCCCTGAGTTGGATATCTCATTCTTCTTGCCGTGTAAGATTCGCTCTTCATCGTCTTCGTTGTCTGACGCATCTGAGTTCCCATTCTCGCCCCCATCATCTTCGCCTGAGTCGCCATCCTGCTCGTCATCGTCTGATGCAAATGCTTCCTCCAACAGTACGCCCTCATCCTCGTCTTCATCATCATCCTCTGAGATTCCGGTGTCTCTCTCATATCTCATGCCGGCCAAGTGTCCATTATTTGTAATGATCTTGCCGGTCCTGAGGTCGATTTCGTCACCGATACCTGTGAAGTCCTTTTCGTACTTCTGGAAAATGTGCTCAAAGGTCGATTTCAGTTTGAAGGCGGCAAATGCACGAGATTGTTCGAAGCGAAAGCCGGGATCGCGCATCTGAGACACCTCCTCGGGCTCATAGTTGAGTTCATCATCTTCGTCTTCTTTTGCCTTTTGACCGAGCCTTGGCCTCTTTGTGGTCGGTTCCATATTGCCGGTAAAGTGCCTTAGACCCCTGGACTCATGCCGCTTAGAGAAGGCGGTGGCTTGGACACCGATGATTATAGACAACGAGACGGCGATGATGATATCTGAATAAGCGTCGTCAGGGCACTTGATGAACTCGGCATGGAAAGACGCGCTTCGACGCGGTGCACGGACGCATCGAATTGTCGCGTAAAGTGGAAAGCACGGGCCACGTGGGGTGCTGCCGTTGCCAGAGGCACCCGACGCCGTGGATTACTGCGATGAGTGTGCGACGAATGATCCCTTCTACCACGAGGCAAGTTTTCTCAGCTCAGCTATTCGGCTTGGGCAGGTCGCAGGAAACTTTGACCTCGTTTTTATTATAGCTTTTGGAATATGGGTTCATGAATTAATGCTGTTTGTCTTCGTTGATCAATGTGATTTGGGCGCAAGTAGTCAAGTCCAGCAGTTTAGGTTCACGGATGCCCAAACCGGCTACCTAATCTGTGCCACAGCAGCCTTAATTGTTCTTGCAGTGGTCCAGAATGTTATCGACTCATCACAACACATGATGGAAACAAGTAGAAACGTGACGGAAAGCTCAGGTTGAATCGTTTTTTTAGCTGAAAGTGAGCGCAAACTGAGAACGGAAGGGAAGTCTCATCGAGTTGTCAGCAAAGGTGGTGGCACCCTGGGGGTGAACTTAGCGTCTGCAGGACATCCGCAGGTACCTACCTCCACTGCGCTTTAGGTGACATCACAAGACCTCCCTCTTCTACCTTCAACCTCTCATTCCAGAGCTTGCAACATGCGCGACCCAGCAAAATGATTTGCCAAAAGTGTCGCACGCCGCTCAGACTGGACAGTTCCCTCGAGGAATTAAATCCTGCGGCGTACGATCTTCTCGTCGGTCAGCACAAGCTTTCCCTCATCCGAAACGGCGCGCGCAAGGTAGCTAACCGAACCAGCCTCTTCCTCACAACAGTCACCCAAAAAGACGCCTTCATCACGGCCATATCACCCACAGGATGGCCAAAGAAAGGTGCTATATGACAAGGTCTCGCAAAATGCGGCCTCTGCGACGTTCAAGCGCCATGGCAGTGGGCCATCGAGTTCGGCGCAACGAGATTCGACCATGTCCTTCATCTACCTTACCGAGTCACAAGTCGCTCAGCCAGTGCTTTCCCGACCCGAACCACTGCCACCGAATACGAAATCGAACAGGGGGAACAATGGTGGACAGAAGTCTCTTGAGGAACAGCGTGGCGGTAGCAAGGCGCACGAGATAGAACGCATCAACAAGTTGTTCGAAATCCTCTCCGCGCGATCCGACATCGACCATCCCATCTGCGTCGAGTGTACCGATATGCTCGTAGAAGGTCTTCAGAAGAAGCTTGAGTCTGCAGCGAGGGAGCGCGATGCCTACGTCGGCTTCTTGAAACAAGTGCAGAGCGACCAGCCGAACGAGGAGGACGTTAAAGCACAAGAGGAAGCTCTGAAGAAGGCAAGGCAGGCCGAGACAGACGCCATGGCTGAGTTGCTACGTTTGGAGCAGGAAAAAGCATCTGTGGATGCGGAGATTATTGCTTTAGAGGAGGAGTCACAACAGCTTGACCACGAGGAAGAGCAGTTCTGGCGCGAGCGTAACGCCTTTGCCACCAAACTTGCCGACTTCCAAAACGAGCGCGACAGCACGAATTCCAGGTTTGACAACGATGCTCAGCTGTTGGAGAAGCTGCAACGCTCAAACGTGTACAACGACACGTTCTGCATCAGCCACGATGGCACGTTTGCTACTATCAACGGGCTCCGTCTTGGCCGACTGTCGAACAAACCGGTTGATTGGCCTGAGATCAATGCAGCATGGGGCCACGCCCTTCTTCTGCTAGTCACAGTTGCTGACAAGCTGGGCTACAAATTTGATGGGTTCGAGCCGCAGCCCATGGGAAGCACTTCAAAAATCATTCGGTTTGAACTCCCGTCGCCAACAGCCAGTCGTTTAGGATCGCATCGGAACGCTCCACCACCAGCTCCGAAGAAGCATGTTCTGGAGCTTTTCTCTAACGGAGATTTACCTCTGGGACTGACATTCATGCACCGCAAATTCGATAATGCAATGGTCGCATTTCTTGAACTCGTGCGACAACTTGGCGCTTTCGTGCATCGACAGACGGCAGCCGACGGCCATCCACTTAGTCTTCCCTATAAGATTGAGGGCGACAAGATCATGGATGTGAGCATCAAGCTCGGCATTGCTCAAGATGATGGGTGGACGAAGGCGTGTAAGCTCACGCTGACGTGCTGCAAATTTCTGCTTGCACACGCTAGTAACGTGAACACGAGCGCGAGGGCTGCGAATAATCAATAATGACTGCACAAATTCGACGCATATCAAACAGGACTCGGATCATGGAGTTGAGGGGCTTCCTTGGCAGGTATAGATCAAGCGTATCATTTGGAGTTCACGGTGTATTACTATGAACTATAGGTCACAAGAAACAGTGCATTCTGTTGTTATTACTTCCTACTGGAGAATCGCTTGCAGATCCTTGGAGATGATCCCGTCATTAGTGCAAGGGGACCCTTTCACCGTCGCTGACATCTCCAAGCGTAGACTCGAGTTGAGACCAACCTAGCATGTAATACCGGCAACTCATAAGCTTCCTTACGATCATCTCGCGATGAGACTTTACATGCAGCTTTCGGACGATGAGTGGAAGCACGTGACGCGATCGCGAATATTCCCACGTCGCAATCTGACTGCATGCAGCTGGTCAAGTCAGCCTTGGTTGACGCTTGTTGGCGGCAGTCTGCAGCCATTCAGGCAGCAAGGCGCCCTCACGAAACATAAGCCGCTCGGCTGCCTCATTTGTCTTACACCACGGAACGCACCTATGCAGGCCTAATGCAATGTTCTTTCCAAGAAAACCAATCAGTCATTTCGCGACCATGTTGATTGCCTAGATGCGGGGTGATGGCTCGCCTTATCTGCTGCACCATGACCTGGCAGAGAAGACAGTGTTCCATTGGCTGCTCAGCCTACCTGCTGCCGCCTGCCGATGAACCCGAGAGCCGCAAAGAGCAATGGGCGTTAAAAAGGATCGTCTCATCCACATGGAATTCACGCCTGTTTTCTCTCGCGTCATCCAGCCTGTCTTTCTTTTATCTTAGCCTACTTTTTGCTGTGTACTATCAAGATTTTTACCTGACGTAAATTGCCTATCATGGGTGGCCAAGCAGACAACGTAAGATTGCCGATGGACCTCACATTCCGTGATTTTTGTGCAGGCTAGCTAACAAACTTTAGACCATTGACGATGATGCCGGCTCGACAGTGAGCTTCGAGGAAGTTGACTACCGGCGCACCACCAAGCAAAGCCAGGCCCTCGTAGCCAGAGGAAGCCTGGAAAGGGAGACACCGTCAGACATTCTATACGTTCTGCAATACTTGGGCATCGGTGGCAAAGTCATCGACAGTAAGTCAATAACACTGATCACTCCTTTCCGCTAAGCTCTGTTAACATGACCAGGTCGTGAGAGCAGTAATCCATTCAAGGAGATCCCCGACTATGGGAAGAAGGATGGCGAGACCACTCAGCGGACTGTCAATTCCGTGCTCGAGATCGTGACAAAAGTCAACACCAGCGCCAAGATCAGACGCGTGCGTCGTCATCGGTCTCCGCATATTACCTATCCCGACGATGATTACACGTCGGCGTCTTCGGACAGCGAGGATGATGAGCGCGCTAAGGCTGGAAAGATCGAACGCACGCAGATGATCATCCACTCGCCACATCTCATCAACGCATTGAGGGCGGTCGTAGCATACTACCCCCACGTCAATCTTCTAGGAGACACGGTGACCATCGATGCTCCTTACCGAGTTATCGTGCACCACCTCGACGCCCTCAGGCAGTACAGATTCCATCAGCCTGCCAGCCACTCCACCGAGTACGCTCGTCTGACGGCGAACCACATTGATGTTCTTTTGAGTTTCATCGATCAGGCTGTCGGGGAGTCTATCCGGACTGAACAAGAACGACATAGTCGCAATGTCCCAGTCGCGACGTTCCAGAACTATTGGATGGCTCTGAAGCCAGGTGAGGTTATCTATGTCAACCACGACGACCTCTGGGAGCCCCACGTCATCAGCAGCACTTTCCAGGACGTCACTTTGAGTGGTCGTAACCGCCACTTGCAGGTAATTGCTTGGGTCCTCGAAATGGGCCACAACCGAATGAATCGAAAGATGTCCCAGTTCACCATCCCTTCGTGGACCGGCGAGCAGATCATCCCTTCTCTGAAGATCATCCCAGCTCGCTTCTTCCAGGATGACCCGCAAGCAATGCTCCGGAAGCAGCTCAGGCTCGGGAAGCTGTACTGGGAGCTTCTCCAACGCCCAACCTATATGGAGTACGACGGAATGCTTGTGCAGGCTCAACCTGGATCTCACTCGGGCCCAATCTTCAGTCGTGGCCCGTCGGGCTATGTGAGTCTTTCTGCCTGATCCCTTTGACAGATGGGAGCAACTAACCTTTCATCAGATGACTGGCCGAGTGATTTGCGATGCTGAGGGCTTCGGTCGTTTCAACTTCCGTGCACCAGAGAACCGGAACGGCCCACCGGGCCCGCCACGTGGGGTAGTGCCCCCCGGCATGATGCCTGTACAGCATCATGGACCGCCGCCTGCTCAAGACCATCTCCCGCATTTCCTTCCACGTTGCGGCTGCAAGGAATGTACCAAGGAGACCGATCGCACCGACTTGTCACCGTTCGCGGGCTTTGACGACATCAACCCCCTGACATCGCCAGCCCCTACTTCCGATGTTTTCTACATTGCCTGCACCAACATCATTCCGGCCTTCCTTCTCGGCGATCGCCGTTGGGGCCACTTGAACCTCGACCACGTGAAGCCCGTCATCACGGACCGTGAGGCATTCAAGTATCTCGTCCTGGACGACGAGATCAAGATGACAGTCAAGGCCCTCATCGGCAAGTTCGCGGCAGCAGAGTCCGGAAAAGTCTCACCGTGGGCCAACGACTTTATCAAGAACAAGGGCGAAGGCCGCATCTTCCTCCTCCACGGCGCCCCGGGCGTCGGCAAGACCTGCACCGCCGAGTGCGTCGCAGAGCTGACCAACCGACCCCTCATCTCCCTGACCTCGGGCGACCTCAGCGTCAACTCGCACAGCGTGGAGCACAACCTCTCCTACTTCCTCGAGCTGGGCCAGCGCTTCGGCGCCCTCGTCCTCCTCGACGAGGCGGACGTCTACCTCGAGCGCCGCCGCGCAAAAGATATTGCCCGCAACGGCCTCGTCTCGGTGTTCCTCCGCGCGCTCGAGTACTACCGCGGTGTGCTCTTCCTGACCACGAACCGCGTCCAGGCGTTCGACACGGCCTTTACCTCGCGCATCCACGTCGCGCTGCACTACAAGAATCTAACGGATGTCGACCGCGAGCGCATCTGGGCCAACAACTTCGAGCGCCTCGACAGGGACTCGCACGGCCGCGTGCGTGTTGCCATCGCCGCGCGCGAGTACGCCTACGACTCGCGCGATGTACGCGCTCTACGCTGGAACGGCCGTGAAATCCGCAACGCGCTACAGACTGCGCTTGCGCTTGCCGAGAGTGATGCTGCGGAGGAGGACACCGACCGTATCTGCGTTACGGACAAGCACCTGCGGGCTGTGGTTAAGATGAGCCGCGGCTTCAGGGACTACCTTCGTAGTGGAAGTGTGTATGACGGGGAGAGCGAGGTCGGTGAGAGTGAGGGTGAGGAAGGTGACATCTATTCTGACTGAGCTTCCGTGTTTCGGTGTTTCTTGATGAGACTGGGCTTTGAAGTATTCGTTCTGGTGGCCTTTTGACTTGCAGACTGGTTATTCACGAGGACTATGATAAGATTGACATAATGAACGCTGAATGTTGGATAGTTAGAACAACTTGATGAGTTAACTAAGAAATTGACAAAGACTTTCTAGTGTATCAGCTGTAAACCATCTCATCCCTTCTCACTTACCTCCCAGATGAATACCCGCCAACACTCATCTTCTTACACAGATCTCAACCCATGAACTAGATGCACTCAAACGTCTCAGTTCAACACAGGCCTCCACCCCTTCCTCCTCACAAACCCCTCAACACCCTCATCTCTCAAAACCTCATCCCCTCTCCGTCCCGTCACAACACTCCTCTCAACGTCGGGACCTCGAACGTAGAACGGGAACCTCAGCCTCCCGCTCTCATCAACCTCGTCTTTCTTTCTACGGCCACCTTGTTCGTTCTCTTGACCATGAAGTTCACCACCACCACCATCACTGTCCCTCAGAACCCAAACCCTCTTACCCCCAATACTCCTCCTCTCAAACCCGCACGCCTCCCGATCAAGCGAAAGGTACCACCGCCGCTGATATACGCCCCCGACGCTGTTCTCCGCGCCCCGATACGCGTTCGTCCTCCTCACAAAGTCATCCTCCACCTCCCGGATCTCCCTCTCCATGGCGGACAACTGAGTTTCTTCTCCCTCGCCATCACCATCACCATCACCGCTATCACGGTCACCACCAAGCGGATCAGGGACAACATCTCCATCCCCTTCGTCACCAGATTCCCCCTCAGAACTGGTCTCGACAACTTCATTCTTCTTCTCCATCTTCTTCCCACCACCACCCCGCCTCCTCTTCCTCACAGGCCTCCCCAGCGCCCTGGCACTCTTCCTCCTCCCCTCCGCGTCCTCCCCCTTGGTCAACCTCAGATTCAACACATACCTCTCGGGAAGCCGACTCCCATGCAACCTCACCCGAATCTTCCTCTCCCCAAACGCCCTCGCCAACTTCTCCTGCTCCGTCATCCCCCCATCCTTATCATCGTCCTCCCCATCTCCACCATCATCCCCCTCAGAATCAGGATCAACCTCCGGCCCTTCCCTCCTTCTCCCCAAAACCTCGTACCACCCACAATCCCAAACCACCAAACTCCCCGTGCTCCCACTCCCAACCTCAACAACATGATTCCAAAGACAATGCACCCTCGTCTCCGTCGCATTCCGGTTCAACCTCCTCGAGTTCGCGTCCCCGGGCAACCCGTACATCACCGCCCAGCTCACGCTGCTCGTCGCGTTCACCTGCAGCCGGAGGTCGTAGTGCGCCCCCGCGATCGGGTGGTCGTGCTGGTGCACCACAAAGTGCGCGCCCCGCCTCGACCCCACGTGCGCGAGGAAGAGGGACCGCAAGTCGCCGTCGGCGGGGAGGTGTGGCGTACGGGACGGGTAAGGGTTGAGGGTATGCCGCGCCAGGTGGGCGAAGAAGTGCGCCGCCGGGTCGGGTTGCCTTGCGGCGCCGGATTCTAGCGCCGCCGAGAAGTTCGAAATAGTCCCGGGCTTGATCTTGCCGTCGGCTTCGGGAGCGTGTTCAGGATCGTCGTGAGGTGGTGAATCCGGTATCACGACCACATCCTGACGTGGCCCGTCGTCAGCCGCAGCATCCCGTACCTCCAACCCATCATCTGCACTACTCTCCTCTCCTTCTCCATCATCCTCAGTCTTGGACCCCGGAACATCGAGCGACCATTTCAAATTTCGCTTCTTGATAAACGGGTTCTCAATGAAACTCAAACTCCATGGTCGCTTCGACGCCATGACCCCCTGCTGCTTGTCTGGTCGAGAATGCCGCGGGCTATTGAGTAAGTCGGCACTCACCACCGCCGGGAAAGAAGAAGAAGAAAAAAAAAAAACGGAATCACAATCTATCCAGGTGCATGAATGAGTGACCAAACACTATGGAAGATATTTCCCCGGTATTGGCAGCAAATCAACAACATCGAGAGGTCTGTAAGGTGGCTTACATGGTGCTGGTAAGAGCGACAACTACCACCGAAAGTTGGCATGTCGTTGCACGGACCCCACCTGCTTCCGTCAGCACCCGGCATGCCGATCATGACGGGCCCGGCCTCCGGTTTACTACTGCCCTCTGATGACTGAAAAACTCACAAAACCTGCCAGGCGAAACCCAAGCACGTGAATGGGGCACTTCATTCAAATGACTATAGAGATATCGCTACATAGCCCTTGTTATACCCTTACAACGCCTTGCCATGCAAACAAATTCGTTCGCGAGTGCGACCTTCGCGCGAGTTTCCGTTACCTCTAGCCCGACCTTTCAAGGCTTACACCGCCCATCAGAGCTCGCACTATTTGCTTCATTCCTATTTGTTCCAACTAAGCAACGCTTTTCCCCATGTTTCATTGTACAAGACAAGATTCGAACACTCATACATAAGCCGGTATCCTCTACGGCTTCTGCTCCACCAGGGTAGGCGCAATTCGTCTCTTCTTGGGCTCGCTGCCCTCTTCCTTCTCTCCCTCACTTGCCTCACGTTTGGTTCCGCTTGCTGCTGTACCGGCAGTCGATGCAGCCAGGGTCGGGTTCGTGGCAGCGTTGGTCCTCGGCGTCTCTGGCGGCGTGGTGATGGGGACGCCTGTAACCTTGGTGGAGTTGGCGACAGCAATGCCAGGCACGCTGCCCACAATCAATGATGGATTTGTCACCACATTCGATGACTGAGTCGCCACAGATGAAGTAGAGTTCGATCGAGCGGGCGACTGAGGTCGCTGGCTGACAAACCCGGCGGGCGGCGGCGACGGAGCGGTAAAAGAGCTCGCCGAGTTTCGGTGATGGTGACCCGAGCCATTTGGAAATGGAGATGGAGGGGCGAATGCTGAGCTTGGAGCAGGGACCGGAGTGGTTTGATTCGACGACGTCGCTCCTGTGCTTCCAGCGGTTGGATTCTTGGCAGTAGGCAGATCTCCTTGATAGATTTGGCCCAGCTCACCAGGCGAAAAAGACAAGGTCGAACAGAATCCATCCGAGGATGAAACCAAAAGAGTGAGTCCATCGCTTGACCTTTGCATATTATTAGCCTTTTGTCAACTCAGGGTGCAGCTAAGAATACTTACCAAGCTAGATCAGTGAATGTCGCACAGTGAAGATTGCTAACTATGCAGATAGGTGTCTGCTGCTGAGAATCGTAAAGAAGGACGGCGTCTTGAGTCGCCACAGCGTATATCATCCTGTAAGGCAGGGCAAAGGCCGCCTTGGGGCCAGGGGTAGAGGCGCTAGATTCGGCCTTGTTTGGTGTAGAACCGGACTCGGGGACCGAGGTTGGTGGCGGAGGCGGGTCCATGACTGAAGTAGATGTAACAGGCTTCGAGACTGGTTCAGGCAGTGCCGGAATAGGATCTTCAGAGGATGACGTATCGATGGTTATATGCTTAGTGACGGGAGGCGATGTCCGCAACGAGTAAAAGATGGGTGAGCACTTCACCACAACAGAAGGCTTCTTGTGACCAGGCAAGTGCGCAATCGGCGCCTTGTTGATGCCACCTCTCGTGTAAATATAGACGGTATTGGTGACCTCAAATGTGGGCTTCGCATTTCCTTCTGAGCTGTGTTGAGTTTGATACTGGCCAGCTGGAGTAAGCAGAAGACTGCCATCTGGGGTGAAGGTCAAGCGTCGGAAAAAGGATGAGAGCGTCTCGTTGGCATAGAGTGTCGAGTTCTTCATACCGAGGCCACCGGATGGGTGAGGTTTTGGCGATGGCTCCATGGACATTACAGCCGGGAGCGGCATTGACGGAGCCGGAGAAGGCGATCGCCTAGACGAAAATGACGATCTCCTGCTATGGCTAATCACACTGGGCGGGTTCATCGGCAATGCGATTGAGGTGGGAGTTCCGGGGGCGGAGGGGACCGGGGATCCAATGGCCTGTTCGACAGTAAGGTGGGTCCTCATGCCAAAGTCAGGAGGTGCAGGGCTGCTGGAGGATATGCGGCGCGGCGGCAGGTCACTCTTGTTATGGCTTGCAATCTTGGAGGGCTTATCGTCGTGATTGCCGCTCAGTGTATGTTGTCCATCCTTTGTCTTCAAGGAGTAGATGTGGACGGATCGGTCGGAGGACTGGGTTGCAATGTACTCGTTCAAAGGATCCCATGCGACACCTTGGACGTAATGGCTATGTTCAGCAATTTGGCGCACAAGAGTACCTGTCCTTGTTAGATACGGGTGTGGAACACGCTGACACTGGCGGGGAAAACATACCAGAGCTGGCATTATAGATTCGAGCAATGTTGTCCATGCTTCCAATGATGAAGTAGGAGCTATCAGGAGACCAGGCAAGGTCGTAAATCTCGGATCCGCTAGATCGACACATGTGCTTGGTTCTCCACGTCTCCTTATCCTCGAGGCCCTCGTTGCCAAAGGCAGGGCCGCTGTGTTCGGACATGACCCATATGATGACATTGCCGTCGTCGCCGGCGGAAGCGAGTATCTCACCTGGGCAAGGAGGAAGAAAAATCAGCGAAATGCAGGATATAGCGTCTGGAAATGGCTTCTTACCTTTGGGTGCCCATCGAACGACATTGACTGCCTGTGTATGCTTGCTCAAGGTCGACAAGTAGTCGACCTTTCGATCTTCTCCATCGCTGTCTACCTTCCAGAGCTGGTGTTTGTGTCAGCATCGAAGCGCAGGGTCACGCGTGGGACCAGATGGCATGCTTGCCAGATCAGGCGTCTGACGTACTCTGACGTTGTTATCTCCTCCAGCCGTAGCTAGTCGACCCTTGCCGTGAGGCTCGAAATGGGCCGAGTAGACTGGGGCATTCTGGTCATGCCAATTGATGATAAGCGGCGTGCTCTTCATCGTGACTGAGTGTGTATACGGCCGTCTCGAGACATGTGCGGGATCGTGGGCGGTCGTGGGCGGGTTGGGTTTGGTGACGACGGCGCTCGTACGATGGGGACTTTGGCGGGTGGAATACGGGCCGTGCTGGATGTTGTCGAGCAGAGCTTATCGGGGGAGTAAAAACCCGATGGTCGATTCGAGTCGGGAAGCTTCGTGCAGCGTTCGCGGTGGGATGAGGTTGGATGAGGGGCGGGTAGGTTGAGGAGGTCGAGCTTCTCCTTAGCTCGGCAACAACAGCTCGGGAGATTGGTCGATGGGCAACAGCTCCTTTGCAGCAGCGTCGATTCGCAGCTGCTTAGCGGCAAACCTCAATGGGCGGATTGGATTTGGGGGTGGGAGGGGTTGGATTGACAGGAGCTTTAGTACCGCGTGGAACGACACAAACGAGGTACTGTTTTTGGAGCGGTATGGATAAAGAGGGAGGATAAAGAAGAAAATAGCGAAAATGGAAAATCAATTAAACTTGGCAGGGAATTGTCACGAGGGCGCGCAAGAATGGACGAAATGTCGTTCCCGAGCAGGGCAGGGTGGAGTTTGGTGTGGTTTGGTTCGGCGTGCAGGAGCTCAGACGGCTCCAACGCACGCGCTGTTGCAGGCCCATTGATTGTTACCGTACCTTGGGTTCCTGGTGCCAGTCGCGGGCTTGTCCGCCTGTACGGATACCAGGCTGTTGTTTTCCACCGCAAAACCTCACCAAAGTTTGACGGTCCCTTGGGTGGTGTGGCAGGTTCTCCAGCCGCTACAGCAACCAGGCACGCAGAGTCTGTCGCAGCTGCAGCGCCCAGCATCGGCATCATTTTGGCATACCCATAGTACACTACCTACTCCGTAAGGTAGACGGGCTCTGCACCTTGAGAAAATCGGGGAGAGCAGCCGTGAGCAGGGAAACGGCAGGGAAGCTGCTCGCCATAAGGCGCCCGGGCTGTGTGTTTAGCCAATCAGACAGCTCCGTCAGAGAAAGCCTTTGAGTGAGCAGCCCACTGTTTGGCTCATTCAGCCTCGTCTGATTGGCTGCAGCCGTTTCCCAAGATGCTTTCGACTGGGTCCTGTCCTTGGAGTTTGAACAGAGCGTGAATCTATTTTTCTTCTTCTTCTTTCCATTTCTGCTTTGGTATTTCAGCGCAAAGGATCGCATTCGAGCAAACAGTACCTTAGTCCCAAATTAGGCACAATTAAAACCAGGCTGCCACCTCGGCCTTTCAACTTTCGGTACCACCGGAGAATAGCCGTATCTCATCACCAGACCTGTCACTCAGGGCGCAACCTCAGCTTATCGCATACGTTTCTCCTCGTTATGATTGGCTGGAGTCGTATGCACTGCAAGGTGTTGGGATGGGAGGATCGACACACTTGTGGGCGGGTTTGAGGCAGTCGGCGCAACACCTCGAAACGAAGGGACTTTTCGCCCAGATTCCAAAGGGAATTTCTCAGATTCAAGTTTATTCGGGGGTTCATTGACACTTCTTTTCCCTGGTGATTGTGCCAGTTTCCTCTGGTTTCAACTTTGTTGCTGCCACCACTCACTCTCACTCTTCCAATTGCCTAACCATCTAATCTCTGAATGAGTTTTGGCTGGAAAAAGTATAGATTGCTCAACAATTGACATATTTTCAGATGAGAGAGTGAATCTCACCGAACAATGGAAATGCATTCCAATCCCAATCTTGCCCCCTAGGTAGGTTCCTTGATGACCCTTCATAGCTCCATACCTGAACCTCGGTCTCTGATCATGCCGCGTGAGATATCTGCGCACCATTACTCCGTACACCGTACACCGTACACCGTACACATAGGGCTGAAGTGCCTCCGCCAATGAATGCACGTTTAATGCAAATTGCTCATTGGTAATTTCCACTTTGTCCCCGTCTTTGAACCCATGGAACTCTCGAGCGCATCGCTTGGGCCCTGTTCCGAAATGCCTCCCTTCTAGAAGCAAGCATTTTATCAGTCTCAATCACCACTACTGGTACGCTGAGGGGCTGCACTTGGCATCGCTCTTTTCCAGAGATGCATTTGCTCGATGACTCCAACTCATCGTGAACTCCTTCCTCTCTTTCCCCCCAAATTCAAGGAAGACTACTGGTACCTTACTCTGTAGTCTGCATGGTGCAGCCCCGACGGCCCGGTCCACAACATAGGTTACCTACCATACCCGATTTTCAGCCCTGTTTCATTG